CCTGACATGGGGAAATCTTTATGTAATAAAGATTTTTTATTTCCGTATTATAAATGTAGTTATAATAAGTACAGTGGGGCCTTGACTTACAAGTGTCCCGACTAACGAGTTTTTTGAGATACCAGCTGTCTCTCGGCCGATTTTTTGCATTGAGTTGATAGAGTAATTTGAGTTAACGAGCTTCTTAACGAGCTTGGTCTCAGAACGAATTAAACTCGTAAGTCAAGGCCCCACTGTAGTTTATTATTACAGTAGCATTATTTGGCTGTTTCCTTATTTCAGCTTTTTGCTATGAAAATGTTTAAACGGTGAGAAAAGTTGAAATAGTAATGTAATGAACTCCCACAGAGCTTCCATCTAGATTTAATTATTTCCTTAGCTTTGTATGATTTATCTATCTCTATCTCTATGAATGTGAATTTAATTTCCTTTTTTTCTTTCTTTCTTTCTTTTTTTTTTTTTAAGAGAGAGTGGAAAAGAGAGGAAAAGATGAGAGAAATATCGATGTGAGAGAAACACATGGATTGGTTGCCTCCAACCAGGGCCCGGGCAGGGGAGGAGCCTGCAACCAAGGTACGTGCCCTTGACCGGAATCAAACCCGGGACCCTTCAGTCTGCAGGCCGATGCTTTATCCACTGAGCCAAACCAGCTAGGGCTCTATGAATGTGAATTTAAATTTTCCTAGCAACCACGGTACTTTTATCACACCTAAGAAAATTATTAATAATTTTATATCATCTATGTCTAGTCACAGTCAAACTAACCCAGTAAGTATATGCAGAGTATTAGTTCAGTACTAGAGGACCTGTGCACGAATTCGTGCATGGGTGGGGTCCCTTGGCCTGGCCGGCACTGGGGCTGATCAGGGTGATGGGGTGCAGGCTGGCTGGTGGGAGGGACCATGGGAGGTTGGCTGTGGGAGTGCACTGACCACCAGGGGACAGCTCCTGTGTTGAGTGTCTGCCCCCTGGTGGTCAGTGTGCATCATAGTGACTGGTTGACCCGTTGTTCCGGTCGTTCCGTCGTAATGGTCACTTAGGCTTTTATATATATAGACTAGAGGCCCGGTGCACAAAAATTTGTGCACTCGGGGGGGAAGGGGGGGTCCCTCAGCCTGGCCTGTGCCCTCTCGCAGTCTGGGACCCCTCGGGAGATAACGACCTGCTGGCTTAGGCCTGCTCCCGGGTGGCAGAGAGCAGGCCCAATCCCTAGGTGCAGCCCCTGATCGGGCTCAGAGCAGGGCTGATTGGGGAGTTGGGGCGCCGCCCCGTCATGCACAGAGCAGGGCGGATTGGGAGGTTGCGATGCCACCCTCAGTCACGCTCAGGGTAGGGCCGATTGGGGGGTTGGGGCACCGCCCCCTGTCACACTCAAGGCAGGGTCGATGGGGAGGTTGCGGCGCCAACCCGTCACGCACAGAGCAGGGCCGAACAGGTGGTTGGGGCGCTGCCCCCTGTCACGCACAGAGCAGGGCCCATCAGGGAGGTTGGGGCTCCGTACCCTGTCACGCACAGAGCAGGGCCAATCAGGGGGTTCGGCGCTGCCCCCTGTCATGCACAGAGCAGGGCCCATCAGGGGGTTGGGGAGCTCCCCCCTGTCATGCACAGAGCAGGGCCCATCAGGGGGTTGGGGAGCTCCCCCCTGTCACGCACAGAGCAGGGCCGATCAGGGGGTTGAGGAGCTCCCCCCTGTCACTCACAGAGTAGGGCCGATAGGGGAGTTAGGGCACCGCCCCCTGTCACACACAGAGCAGGGCGGATCAGGGGGTTGGGGCGCCGCCCTCTATCACCCACAGAGCAGGGCCGATCAGGGGGTTGGGGCGCCGCCACTGTCACACTCAGGGCAGGGCCGATGGGGAGGTTATGGCTCTACCCTGTCACACACAGAGCAGGGCCTGTGGGGGGTGGGGGGGTTGGGGCGCCACACCCTGTCATACACAGAGCAGGGCTGATCAGGGGGTTGGGAACACCGCACCCTGTCACGCTGATCCGGTGCCAGGAGGCCTCGCGGCTCCCTGATCCCGGTGCTGGGAGGCATATTACCCTTTTACTATATAGGATAGAGGCCTGGGGGCAGGCTGGTTTGCCCTGAAGGGTGTCCTGGATCAGGGTGGGGGTCCCCACTGGGGTGCCTGGCCAGCCTGGATGAGGGGATGATGGCTATTTGCAGCTGGTCACACACCCTTCAGGGTGGGGGTCCCCACTGGGGTGCCTGGCCAGTCTGGGTGAGGGGCTGAGGGCTGCCTTCAGGCTGGTGATTGACTGAAGCTCCCAACTGCTCCTTTTTTTCTTTTTTTTTTTTTATTCTGGGCCAGCTTTAGCTCTGGCTCTAGCTCTGAGGCCTGGGCTGCTGAAAGCTGGTATCTGGTTTGTTTGCGTTCTATAATCGAAACAATGTATAACTCCAGCTCTGAGATCCCTGCGGCTGAAAGCTGGTTTCTGGGGTTTTGTTTAGCTTCTATATTTGTTACAAAGTTTCAAACTGCCAGCTCAGAGGCCGGCAAGGCAGGCGGGGAACGTTGGAGTCCTCCTTCACTGAAGCAAGCAAGCCTCATGTTCGCTTCCAGCTGCCTGGCTGCTGGCCGCCATCTTGGCTGACAGTTAATTTGCATATACTCACTGATTAGCCAATGAAAAGGGTAGCGGTCGTACGCTAATTACCATGTTTCTCTTTTATTAGTGTAGACTAGAGGCCCAGTGCATGAAATTCATGCACAGGTAGGGTCCCTAGTGGCTGCTGGCTGGGGGCGCCTCTCTTCCCCCGGCCACCGCCGGCCCCACCCCCTGGTCCAACTCCCAGTCGAGGGGACAATTTGCACATTAGGCTTTTATTTTAAAGGATGACACTTTCTCAGAAATGATCCTTTCCCCAGAACTTTTCTTCCAAAAATATTTCTTCCTTAAATTCTGCTCATATCCTCCATAGCTCAGCCTTTTATGTAAAGAACAGACCATTCTCTAAAGCAGTTACTCTGTTCTTATTTTATCATACAGGAAGAACTTTTGCTACTAATAAAGAAATCTAGAAACTTATCAAAAATAAGACACGACTTCTGTGCCATGCTGCTACCCTAGTCGCTGGCACCACTTCTTTCACTTGGGCAATCTCCAAACTAAAGGACAGTAACAGATCTGAAGAGGCTATTACCTGCAGTACAGCTCTTAGTAGTAACTGCATTCTACTTCCTACCTAAAAGCAAGTAAGTACATGAGGACTACTTTGGAGTACCTTTCTCACTCTAGTTTTCTCTTCTCCACTAAAGTTCCAAAGTAGAGAACAGAGGAGAGAAAAAATTTTCAGTTCCTTTTTCTCATCCACCACAACCCCTAAGAACATAAAACTGTCACAAAATAAAAGTGCTACTAAGATATCAACTAGCATCAAAATATATATATGTATACAAAAATTAAAGAATTGGCTCCTCTATACAATGAAATATGCAGCCCAATAAAATGGTGTTTCAAAATAATATATATAAATGTTATTCATTGCAGCACTGTTTCTTCAACTCTTATGAAAATTTCAAATATACAGAAAAGTTTTTAAAAGAGTGAAACATACACTATTCACCAGACTCAAGAATTGTTAATACTTTATCAAATTTGCTTTATCTCCATCAATATATGTGTGTTTGTTTTTTCTGAAAAACACTCTAACCTTATATACCCCATTATGCATTTCCTAGTAATAAGGACATTTAGCTTCATAACCACAATACTATTATCACACCAATGATCTATTATTCAGTCTTCATTCAAATTTCCCCAACTGTCCCCAAAAAAAACGCCTTTAATGAGTTGGCTTTTTTTTAAATCCAGAATTAAATCAAGACTCAAGCATAGAATTTGGATGCCATGTCTCTTTAGTCTCTTTTATTCTAGAACTATAGGCCCGATGCACGAAATTCGTGCAAGAGCAGGCCTTCCTTCTCCTGGCTGCTGGCACCAGCTTCCCTCCAGCACCCGGGACCTGGGCTCCCCTCGCAGCCCTGGCTTCGTCCAGAAGGACATTCGAAAGGACATCTGGTCTAATTAGCATATTATGCTTTTATTATTATAGATGGCCTTAAGTTTTGTTTTGGTTGGTTTTGTTTGTTTATGTACAACATAAGTTTTTTTGGTGTGTGTTTTTTTTACAACACAAGCTTTTTTAAAAGACCAAGATAGTTGACTTACAGAATGTCTACCATCCTAGTTCTATTTAATTATTCCTTCACAGTGCCATTTAGCTTGCCTCTGTATCCCTTATATTTCCTGTAAACAGGTTAGGTCTAAAAACCACTGATTAGAGTTAGGTTGTTTTTTGGAGAATGCTTCACAGGTGATGCTACTATGAATCCCCTGGTACAGTACATCAGGTGGCACATATTCTCAGACTGTCCCACTTAGTCAGACTTGGTAACTTATGTAATCACTTGGCAAAACATGATCACTTGGTTGGATTTGTAGCGGCCAGAAAGTTCTCTTTAAAAGGTCTATTTCTCCCTTTACAATGATAATCTGTGGCTAACATTTGGCACCATTCGAATATCTGTTCTTCCTCGACCTTTTGCTTAATGGTTTAGCAGTCATTGATGCTTCTTTCTTTTTAAAAAAATATATTTTATTGATTTTAGAGAAATAGAAACATCAATGATGAGAGAGAATCATTGATTGGCTGCCTTCTGCACGCCCCCCACTGGGGATCGAACCCACAACCCAGGCA